TCTTAAAGATATGTAAAAGATATCTCATTATAGATATCTTCAAGATATTTCTAAAAGATATCTTTTAGATATTTTTTAAAAATATCTTTTCTTAGAAAATATTTAAAACATATCTTTTAGATATCTTCAAAACTTTCATGTTTTCTGAGTATCAATTGAAAGTATTCCATTTAAAATTATGACACATATAAGAAACAGAATGAACATAAAACTTACTCTTCATATGGAAGAGGTTTTGTCCCTTTTCCAGAGCTATTTTTTCCAGTGGTCCGTTTAATATGTATATCCCATTTCTTTTTCAATAATTTAAATTTATTTTTCATATGATTTTTGATAGCATTTATATAACCTTTCTTTTGGAACGACTCTGCTAACGCTTGAAACATAGCCTCCTTACTTTGATATTTCCGTTTTTGAAACTTTTTCTCATGTTTTTCATATTCTGAGAAAAATAACATTATACTTTTGACTCCAAATAAAATGACTATCACTGTTGAAAACACTGTTGAAAACAGAATCATTCTCTTTTTCATTATCTGTCATAAGTTCCTTTTCCATAACTGTGGAAGAATCTGAGTTTACAATCGAAAAATCCAATGAACTCATAATTGTATCTGTATGCTGCGTAGAGCTTGTTGCTGTAATGGAAGGACTTTCATGCAACTGAATACTGGAAGGACTCATCTTATTCATCAAAGGCACTGTGGTTAAGTATTGTGTTAAGTCCGTTGTGTGAGTTACGGCAGAAGTATTTGGTGTTTGAGGCTTAACTAATTTAAATGATAATATTTTTGGCATGACTTTTATAGCTGAGTTCTTTGGAATCATAGATCCTGTTATTAAAGAATTAGCATTCGGGTGTGCTATCATAATTTTCTGATTAGATTCAGCCATTATGGATTGTTTGTCTTGCTGAAGACTATAACAAAAAAATCATTAATATTAAATACAATAGTTGTGTAAGTGAACACTTCTTAACTGGTTAAAATAACTTTAAAACAAATAATGTTGGAATATATTAATCACAAATTACTGAATAATATGTCGTATGTAAAATATTACATTTTTGCTCACGTATTAATTCAAATAAAATATAAACATAAGTCACACAAATTGTCCTAAAATAAAATCACTTAACCTATTTTGAATTCACTATTAGTTAATTAATTATAAAAATGCATATTTCAGCAGTCAACTAAAATCTTATGCAAGACATTTTAAATACCTGAATATTTAATACACGTCTTCTTAATTTAGTCGTACTTTTTTGCATTCTTCTTCGCAAAAGTAAACTAATGATTGCACATGCGCTCATGACAAAACTGTTTCTGCCCAAACTGCACCACCTCCGAAGCTGGGGTAAATGGATCACACTCCTACTTGCTCCTTGAGGAATGCTCCAATGCGACGCGAACGCTTGGTCGCCATATAGTTTCCGGTGATGCAAACGGATTGGAACACATTGGGGCAAATAGGAGCATGTTGGAGTGTGCGACGCGAACAAACCTAAAGAAAATGTAACTTACTGGTGATTCCTGGGATGCGAGAAATGAACAAGATATAACGGTTGATAGGCGGCTCCTGCTCTGTAGGTTGGGATGGGTTGTGCGACTCCCTTCCAATTGTCCAATTATGGCACAATAACACTGATTCTAAATTTTTATTTTTGTCCCCAAAAAAAAAATAAGACAGAGGACGTAAGAGTATGTGTAGTGCCCAAACGAAACCGAAGACGAATTTGAGTCTAAGGACGCGTTTTTACAGGTCTGACTTTTGAATCTAGAATCTAAGTGAATGTGAATCTGCTCTTTTTCCTGTCTCTCAGAATAGAAGTAGTGTCGCGGAGGCGGATTACCGCGGTTTTTATAGTGAAAATCGGAGGCAGAAGCTATCAGGGTGGGTAGAGAGATGGCCTTTGAGGAAGGGGTGAATTGGTCTTAGTGGGAAAAAGTCTCAGCCATTAGCGAAGTTAAAAGACATCGTGGGAGGAGACAGTTAGTTTTTGGAGATATGAATATGGAAGGGCTAAAGGGTGGAGCGTGGGTGTCTCATAGTTTTAGGTGGATATGATATGATTGGCTGAATGAATTAGGCGCGACAAGCGTGGAGGTGGTGGATTCTTGAGATAGAGAAATGTATACAAGTGGCCGGCTGGAAAAATCAAAATGCCGTAAATCAAAGGCTGAGATCAGATTTTACGACTATCAGTGAAGTAGGCTTTGTTGGTTGACTGATAGGGCACATATGGTTTTGGATTGAGAAGATGTAAGTTTCAAGTTTTAGAGCAGGAATGCTCTGTGTTGCTTTGTTTTACTGAAGGTTTGTTAGCGCGGAGTTTCAAATTTTTATAGCTAGGACGACGGACACACATGGCGAACACTACCCAGATATAAACTTTAAACGAAGACGTAGATTTTTACAACAGGACACTGTTTCCTGTTATGGAATTTTCCCGAATCGCTTTTCATTTGGCGCGACGGCTGTTCGCCAAATGGGTCTGTTTCCTAATTTATATTTATATATGTATATATTCCTATTATAGTTATATTAGGAGAATATAAATCCGCGAGAGGAAAGAATTTTTACTAATTAAATCTACAGGACGTAACACCCCCTGCCTTAGACAAATGTTGGGGCTGCCAACATTTGCTTACGTAGTGTATTGTTAAAATCGTATTAATTGTGTGTAATTGAGTGTAGATTGTAATATAGTTGATTTGATTTCGCAATTAAAATACTCATTTGTAGCTGAAATGGTCCTTGAGTTTTCACAGGTGTGTTGTTTTATTGCTAGTCAGCGCAAGGTGGCAGGCTTCGGATCATCTTTCCTTTTTAGTCAGGTAGTTCGTGTTTCGGGTTGCAGTACGGTTATCCCTTTTTGCGATTAGAACCTGTTAGGTTGTCTGCTTAAATATGTTATAAAATAATCCGGAAAAAATACTTCGAGGAGATTGACGCAATTATTCGTAAATCATCTGATAAATATAATTAGAAAGAGCTTAATTATAATAATTCGTGTTTGTTTAGAAGGAGGAAAGAGAAGGCGACCACCAAAACCCCTTCCTTCCTTTTTTCGTCCTTCTATATATATATATGTATAGAGAAAAAAGAAAATAATATTGAAATAGTATCTTATAAAGAAAAAGGAAATTCAGTGTTATACTTTGTATCATCATTATAAATTATTATAAATATTTTCTTTTCTCTCTTTTTTTTATTATTTTTATTACAAAAATTTTTATTTATATATATATTTATTAAAATTATATATATATATATATTTTTTTTTATGTGTATGATGTATAATACGATATATAGTATAAATGCATGTAGTACGTAATACATAATATATATGTAACATGTAAGAATATGTGTTAGTGTACAAAAGCATAAAAGTATGTAAAGTGTGCGAGTATATAAAAGTATAAAAGTATATAAGCATATAAGAGTATATAAAAATATATATATATATTGTTGTGCCCACACCTTTGGGGAACGTATTGTTCCCACGCTCTTGGGAGAAGACGCTCTGTGAAGAAGGCATATAGAGAGTGTTTGACAGCTGTTATCGTTGTCAAGGAGTTTGTTTACTAACAACTAGAAAAGAGAGTCGCTCTAGTCCTGTCACGGCGTACGGACGTAAAGCGAATTCGTGCGATTATTTTGGAATTGATTGAGATCCGTTTTTCTAGGCTGTAAATAAAGCTTTTCTCGTTTAGTATATCTCGAGTTATTTCTTTCACGCGCGGGCACAACATTTGGGGGCTCGTCCGGGATCAATAACGATAGAAATCGTAGACGTGCTTGTGTGTGAAAGTGAAAGAAAAAGAAATAACTCGAGATATACTAAACGAGAAAAGCTTTATTTACAGCCTAGAAAAACGGATCTCAATCAATTCCAAAATAATCGCACGAATTCGCTTTACGTCCGTACGCCGTGACAGGACTAGAGCGACTCTCTTTTCTAGTTGTTAGTAAACAAACTCCTTGACAACGATAACAGCTGTCAAACACTCTCTATATGCTTTCTTCACAGAGCGTCTTCTCCCAAGAGCGTGGGAACAATACGTTCCCCAAAGGTGTGGGCACAACACTGAAGAAAAAGGAAATGGATATAAGAAGGGAAAAGAATTTGAAAGAGTTGAAGCACGAAGAAATTTTAAAACGAATAAGAATAAAGAAAGGGAATGTTGGCAATGCGGTGGGGTAGGACATTTTCGTTCAGAATGTCCGACATTGCAGCAAAAGGAAAACTAAATTTTGCCGAGCTTCACGGAGCTGGTTCGGTAAAAAGGATTCAGGCTCCGTTTTATAAGCGCAAAATTGATAAAAACATGTATAATATTTGTGGAAAATTGAATGATAAAATGTTTCTTAGTAATTTTTGTTGTTTCAGGGGGTTGTTAAATAATACAACTTGTTCTTTTAAAATTGACACAGGTTCCGATGTCTCGATTATAAGTTCTAGGAAGGTAATACCTTTGAAATTGAGTCCGATAGGTTCTGTTAATTTATTTTACCCTACAGGAGAAAGAGTTCAGGTTCATTCACAAGTTGTTGCTACCATTACTTTGGGGAAGTTTTGTGTACAATTATGTTTTTATGTAGCTGATATAAATAATGATTGTATTTTAGGAAGAGATTTTCTTTTAAAAACAGGTTTAGTAGATGGATTGTTTGAAAGGGCTCTTGGAATCTCAAAGAATAGTTTTGGAAAACAAGAATTAATTTGTTCTAGAATAGAGAAACATTCTATTCAATTTCCTGAATTACTTAGGGAAATTCATGAACAAAGTTCTAAACATTTGAATTTTTCACAAAAAGAGATTTTCTCAGAGTTTCTTATTCAATTTCAAGATTTATTTGCTGAAAATGTTATAGCTGGTAATTGTGATATTCTTTGTCATCATATTAAACTTTTAGATTCCAATCCTATTAAGCAGACTCCTCGTCGAATTCCTATTCATTTACAAGAAGAAGTTTATAAAATTATAGAAGACATGAAAGCTCAAAAGGTAATAGAAGAATCCAATAGCCCTTGGATTTCTCCGGCTGTAATGGTAAAAAAAAAAGATGGTTCTATAAGATTTTGTGTAGATTATAGAAAATTAAATGCAGTAACCATCAAGGATTCATATCCACTTCCAAGAATTGATCAAATTTTAGATTGTTTAGCTGGGAATTCATGGTTTTGTACTCTTGATTTAAAGAGTGGTTATTGGCAGGTGGGGTTAGCTCCTGAGGATCGGGAAAAAACTGCTTTTTCTATAGGAAACGGTTTATGGCAGTTTACAGTGATGCCGTTCGGACTTTGTAATGCTCCTGCCACTTTTGAACGTTTAATGGAAAAAGTGTTATCAGGTTTAATTTCTAAAAAATGTTTCGTTTTCTTGGACGATGTAATTGTTTTTGGAAAGAATTTTGAAGAAATGATTTCTAATTTAAAAGCAGTTTTTCTGCGGTTACAATCCGCAAATCTTAAGGTAAATCCAAAGAAATGTGAATTTTTAAGGAAAAAGATCAAATACTTGGGTCATGTGATTTCTGCTGAGGGAGTTGCTACAGATCCTGATAAGATTTCTGTTCTTAAAGATTGGCCAATTCCTAAGACACGGAAACAAGTGCGAAGTTTTTTAGGATTTTGCTCGTATTATCGGAAATTTATTAAAGATTTTTCTCTTTTAGCCAAGCCTTTATTTAGATTGACGGAGGAAAATAGAAAATTTTCTTGGTCAACAGAATGTCAGTTGGCATTTCAGGAGTTAAAACGTGTGATGACTTCTTCTCCAATTTTATCTTTTCCTTCTGGAGAAGGTCAATTTATTCTTGACACTGATGCTTCAAATCATGGCATTGGAGCAGTTCTTTCACAGCTTCAGGAAGGAAAAGAGAAAGTTATTGCTTTTTATAGTCGAGTTTTTAATAAAGTAGAACAGAATTACTGTGTAACTCGTAGGGAACTTCTTGCTGTGGTAGATGCTGTACAATCTTTTCATCATTATTTATATGGAAGGAAGTTTTTAGTAAGAAAAGATCATGTTTCTTTACGATGGTTAACTTCATTTAAAAATTTGGAAGGGCAGTTGGCAAGATGGTTAGAACGTTTGCAGCAATATGATTTTGACATTAATTATCGTAGCGGGAAATTACACAAAAATGCAGATTTTCTCTCTCGACGTCCTTGTTTGGAAACTTCTTGTCGTTATTGTTATAAAGTAGAATCACGGGAGGAATCTTTTAAAGAAAATATTATAGGATTTATTTCTCTAGAAAGAGATAATTTACAAGAATGGCATGATTTTCAGCTTCAGGATTCAGTGTTGGCACAAATTCATCAAGCTAAAGAGATTGATAAAAGGCCTTCTTGGCAGGCTGTTGCTCCTATGGAGATTTCTTCTAAGATTTATTGGTCTCAATGGGAAGCTATAGTTGTTTTAAATGGTGTCTTATATAAAAAATGGGAATCTCCTAATTTATTAAACCATGTTTATCAAATTTTAGTTCCTCGGGAGAAGGTTTCGGAGGTGTTGGAAGAAGCTGATTCACCTTCCGGGGGTCATTTTGGAATTAATAAAACTTTACAAAGGATACGTAAACGTTTTTATTGGGCAACTTGCAAGAGAGACGTAGAGGATTGGTGTGCTTCTTGCAAAATTTGTATAGCTAAGAAAGGTCCTTCTGAAAAAGGGAAATCTCCTCTTCAGGTGTATAATGTAGGTGCTCCTTTTGAAAGAATACAAGTTGATATTTTAGGTCCTCTTCCTACCACTCTTAATGGAAATCGGTATGTGCTCGTTGTGCTAGATTGTTTTACCAAATGGCCAGAGGCTATTCCTTTGAAAAATAAAAGAGCAACCACTGTTGCTAAGTTTCTAGTTGAACAAGTATTTTCTCGACATGGAATTCCTTTAGAATTACATACTGATCAAGGAAAGAATTTTGAGTCACGATTAATTCTTGAGATGTCTCATATTTTAGGAATCAGGAAAACTCGTACTACACCTCTTCATCCTCAGTCAGATGGACAAGTTGAACGTCAACATAGAACAATTTTAAATTATTTGGCGAAATATATTTCTGATAATCAACGAGATTGGGATAAATGGATTTCTTTGTTTCTACTGGCTTTTCGCTCCTCTAAACATGAAGTAACTGGAGTTTCTCCAGCCGAAATGTATCTTGGTCAGGATCTTCGTTTACCTTTAGATCTTCTTCGAGGTCGGCCTCCCTCAGTTAAAGATAAAGAAGAAGAAAAGTACACTATTAAATTAAGGAAAAAACTGGATGAAATTCATCGTTTTGCTAGACGTCGTCTTCAAATTAGGTCTCAAAATACCAAATCTTGGTATGATCAACGTTCTAGACAAGTGACATTTGAACAAGGTCAAAAGGTTTGGTTTTTCAATCCTCGTCGTACAATAGGAAAAGCTCCGAAATTGCAAAGTTCTTGGGAAGGACCTTTTATAATTATAAAGAAACTTAGTGATGTCGTGTTTTGTATAGGCAAATCTTTCAAACAAAAAAGAAAAGTGGTTCATGCAGATCGTTTGGCTCCTTTTCGAGAAAGAGATATTAAATAAAATTAAAAGAATCAATACATGTATATACATATACTTGTTTGTTTTCTTTTCCTTTTTCAGAATTTCCCATTCCTCTTTCCTTTTCCGTTTTCCGAGTCGCTGACGTCTTTTTCCACTGAGATCCGTTAAGGACCACCCTCCTCACGGTTTTTGACCGTGGTTTTTCCGTGAGGCTTTGGGTGAATACCGGGGCGGGGATTAGGGGTGTTCTTTTAAAGAACGTCGGGTCCACGGGTTATACCCCCCCCCTTATCCGAAGAAGAAGCTGAAGAGCGGTGAGCTGGGACTTCGAGAGTCACGTCGACAACTTTTCGGCCTGGTAGCTGTTGGGACAAGAGATGGCGTAGTCAAGAGAACCTGAGACAGCAGTCCAGGTTGTGACAAAGGATCGCCAAAGGTGCCCTGGAGCAGCAAAGATGGCGTGAAATTTTGGAGATAGACTTGAAGAAGAGCATTACGAACAACTTTTTCCATGGGATTGTCGGGACGACAATTTTGGAAGAGAAGGGACAGTGTTGTGCCCACACCTTTGGGGAACGTATTGTTCCCACGCTCTTGGGAGAAGACGCTCTGTGAAGAAGGCATATAGAGAGTGTTTGACAGCTGTTATCGTTGTCAAGGAGTTTGTTTACTAACAACTAGAAAAGAGAGTCGCTCTAGTCCTGTCACGGCGTACGGACGTAAAGCGAATTCGTGCGATTATTTTGGAATTGATTGAGATCCGTTTTTCTAGGCTGTAAATAAAGCTTTTCTCGTTTAGTATATCTCGAGTTATTTCTTTCACGCGCGGGCACAACAATATATATGAATATATAAAAAAAAAGGATATATAAAAGAAAGATATATATATATATATATATGAAAGTATATAATAGGTATTATTATAAGAGTATATATTCCTTATATTGAAGGAAATGGCCTGTAATTTTTGTTTGTTTCTATAGCGAGGTTTATCGCTACTAGGTCCCTTTTCAAGTCCGCGAGTCCTATTTGTCCGGGCCGTTCTAAATAGAGGTCAATGTCTGCCCCTGTTTTCTCTACAGGTCGCTTGATCACCATGTAACCTATTTCGTTTTCGGCAAGTAGTTTGGTAATCTCTATTATCTTTTTAGGCCAGCGGGCCGCAGATTCTACGGATCTAACCCCGTGTAGTCCACAGCCTATAGCCTGCCATGCCATTAAGTGGTATCGTTGCGATAGGTTGTACAATTGTGTAATTGGTTTTTTAATGATGCGTCCCCAATCACCCAGGGTGATTACGGCAGTAGAACCACCGACATGGGTAATGATTCCGCGATACCACTCGCCGCAATCTTTTAACGCCACGACGAGTCCAGTTTTGACTGCGTGCGGAAACATATGGTACTTCTTCGCGTGTCGTTTCATCTTCCATTTGATCTCGGCTTGTAATTCCGAGACTTCTTCCCGGTTGAACTGGAGTTGTACCCAGAAGAGTGTGGGAGACTCCACGTGGGTGACATATACTGGAAGTCGCCCACGGCACAATTTCTCTGTGTTGATATGTTCTATTGCCATTTCCTAAATTGATAACAGTGAAAAAAAAATAATGAGGCTTGCAACGATTGACCTTTATGGTTTGAGAGTGAGAGAATAAGTAGTAGTCTCCTTTTGAGGGAGTGAAGGACGAAGACTATGATATCCAATGCTAGTAGTAGGATGAGGTGGTTCGGTGGTAATAGGAGAATTACTAGATCCAGCATTGAGTTCTTGTAACTCGGTGGAATCTTTATTGATTTTGGCGGTCTTCTTCCCGCCTATTAGAATTAATAATTGTGTAAGAGAGTCCCAGAGAGCTCCTATTAAATAACAGGAACACCCATATATTGAGTGTAGTGCGAAACCACCGTAAAATGGTGTCCAGTAATAGTTTAATAAACCGAAAAATAAGAAAGATTCCCATTATTCCAGCACTAATGTTGCCGAAAATCAAAAATCGTCCTCAGATTTTGTTCCAAGTTGAAGTGGCTAGTTTTTCTAATGAAGCTTCATCTAGAAGGTTTGTAAATGATCCTCCATGGATCGTAGAGCTGTGGCCCATTATTGCTTGAGCCATTGTATTGAGAACGGCAGGTCGTTCTGCTGGGAATAAGATATGATCTTTGAATTCGTCGAGATCCGATTGGCTGTAAATGCCGCTGGTGGCCAGTGCTCCAGGACTGGTGTATTTCCATTCTGGTTTAGTCATAGGTTTCAAAGTTGTTGGCGGAATGGATTTTATCGGATTTGGCACCATTTTGTACCAATCTTCTCCTAATTGGTACATCACAGGTGCTAAGGGGTTGCAGTTGACCTGTGTTCCTTGGCGAAGCAGTAAGTGAGTTTGTGATGCTAAATAATATGTTTCATTTTCTCTTATTACTGGAAGTTGAGTATAGCAGTTGGGCGTTCGAGCTACTTGAACTTCCACTGGTACACATTTAATGATGTGTATTACTTCTCCGGCTAATATCGAAGTATAACCTGATGCTTTCATGAAATGATATGCAAATATATCTGGAGATTGAGTTGCTATCGCCAGTGCGTTCTGTAGCATTTTCTGCTCGAGATAGCATTGCTGATATAACATATTCCTGTAAAACTGATTTAATTGTGCTCGGAAATGTTTTTCTACATACACGAATTTGGAGTTCATATATGTAAAGATGTCTGTGTTTGCCGGGTTGTGTATCTTTTTGAAGATACTCAGGTCAGTGAAGGTTTCAAAGATAAACAGTTTCGGGTGCTCCGTTTTTACTAAGGGGTAACCGCAGGCCTTTACCTCGCCTCTACTTGCTAGAGCGAAGGTAGTATCCTGTGTAGTAATAGAATATACCGTTTGGGATCCGGCGTCAGTGCTGTCTTGCATTTTGATTGCGTATCCGTCGAATAAAACTCCATAACTGCTCCCTTTGCATGAATCATCTGATATGGTGTCCCAATAAGTATTTCCTCCTTCGATATCGACGCAATGTGCGGCTTTTAATTCGCAATAAACCTCTGATCTGAGCACCACTTGATTGGCGTTAAGTTTTACCGTTGCACTGTATTCTTGTAATGTAATCTTTACATTCGCTAATACTACAACGCTTGTCCAGTTTCCGTAATCGTCGGTGAAAGCGCTTCCATAACATGTACCGTCATTTTCAACTTTTCCCGCCAAAGTTACTGGCCTACTTATAGTTTGATTAATTTTTAGTCCTGATATATATGTGGTTCCTAGTCTAGCTGTGCTATGCCAGTGCATACGTAAGCATTCTTGACGAGACGTTTCCTGAATATATGCATATTTGCCATTTGCTACGTCCATAGTATGAGAGTGCATTCCACATCTTCTTACAATACGATCTATTTCCACCTTGCATTGTCTTACCATTACAGAATGGAAATCGTTGGCTTGCAATAATTGCAATTTTAATTTGGTGGAGTTGACCTTCTGTGGCGGTATGTCGCATTCTTCGATAGTGAGAAGTGATACGGTGATTATGTTGGATGAAGCTGAACCGCAATCATATCCGATTATTCCCTTGATAGCGGGAAGATATAAGGTGAGAATAAGCAGAATGATCCCACGATGCATCTGAAATTGTGATTATCCTAATCATTAAACTTTATTCTTGTTTACTGGAATGATGTAAGATATCCGAAGTCTATTATAATAGGATGAACGATACGGCTGTTCTTTTGCAATTTGATTCTGACATTATTTCTGTTTATTATTTCTAGTACTTCGTGTGTATTGATCTCCGAATTTTCCTGGTTTAGGTCCCTTTAATAAGAAGACATAACCTCCCGGTTTAAAAGTCTGAGGATTAATTTTTTTATCGTAATAGCCCTTAGATTTTACTTTAGCGTCAGTCAAATTGTCATTTGCTTGTAATTGCATTTTGTGTAATCGAGTAAATAGTTGTATCAAGTAATCATCATATGTTTTCATTTTGTCGTCTTCGAGTAATGGTTCGTTTGACGGCATTCTCGCGGGTTTACCGAAAACTAATTCGTATGGTGTGTGTTTAGTGCCTTCATGTATGCAAGTATTGTAATTTTGTATCGCTAAGTCTACCCATTCATCCCATTCCTTTTCATTGGTTGCGTATTGTTTCAAATATTCTCCTAGTGCGTGGTGAGATCTTTCCAAAGAACCATTTGATTGTGGATGGAAGGCAGTTGTACGAAACCTTCGTATTCTATAGTATTTTGCTACTTTCCTTATTAGATCGCTGATGAAATTTCTTCCTTGGTCGGTGAGCACAGCTTTAGGTGGTCCAAAAATAGCGATAAATCTCTTCACAAATTTATCGGCTATTGTTGCAGCAGTTTGATCCGGTAATGGCACGGCTAAGCTGAATTTTCTTAGTTGATCTTGCATTGTGAGAATATATTCGTTACCATTTTTAGTACGTGGTAATGGTCCTACTATATCCGTGGCAATTTTATCGAATGTCCATCCTGGAGTATCCGTTATTACCATAGGTTGTTTAGTTTTTACTCGGACCAATTTCTTTAACTGGCATTGCAGACATTGTCGAATATGACGTCGGACATCTGATTTCAGATTTTCCCAATAATAATTCTGACTAATTCTGTTGTATGTTTTAGTTACTCCTCTGTGACCTCCTACTGGAGTGCAATGCATTTCCTGAAGTATTGCTTCGCGTATATCTCCTGGTGGATATTTGATCAAGCCTTTGCAAATAATTATTCGTATGGCTGAATCCAAGAATCCTGTCTGAAATTTAGTTTTGGTATCGTTCCATGGTACATTCAGAATATATCCACTCTTGGCTACACTTATACTTGCGAGATTCATGCTCTCAGCAGTCTGTCGCAAATTGATTATTGCTTGTGTTATATTTTTTAATATCATAGTTGGGCCTTCCTTCTGATCTTTGCTAATCGGTAGTATAATGTGATATTCTCTTGTTCCTCTTGTTTTTTTTATGAATTTTGCGATGCTTATTGATAGATTTTTAACTTTCGGCATTTCTTGTCTTTCGAATAATTTATTTCCTTCATCATCCACAGGATTCCCTGAAATATCTGTAAAATATAGCAAATTATCTTTGCGTAGGAAATGTAAATCTCTGGAGTCTATCAAATTGCTTTCTTTGCTTTGTGATTTCGTATTAATTGTTGCAAGTGGTTCGCAGTCATTGTCTTCTTCGTCCGTGTCCTCAGGTAGAGGTTTCGGCGGTAGGTTTCGTTTCTTCGGTTTTACGACCTCTTCATATGGTTCGGCTGTTTGGGTCAGCTGTTTCGCTCGACTTCGGGTCATAATAGCCCGAGAGGCTTCGGTAGGTCCCTGTGCAGAATCCCTGCATTCAGTATTCATAGGTCCAGGCATATGGACCAAGGCCTTCACTGTTTGTGTTTTTGGTAATTCCATTGTTTCTCCGTCGGTCAGTGGCGAAATATTCTCGAGAGAGTCCACAGTCAGTGCGCGGTCGTCGGAAGGATGCGTGTCGCGAACGTTCTCCTCGGTTGATTCCTCGATATGTGGGTGATCATTTGTGAGATGTCCTTCGTGACCGTCTTCTTCGTGTGATTCTTCAGTGTCGCTGTCTTCTTCAAGAAGGTGTTGG